ATGTTTTTATTTATTTTAAATTGTTTTGTTGTGAACCGCCCAGAGTCCCTCCTTGTGGGGGAGGTTCAGCGGTGATATAAATTTGACATATAAATAAAATAAATAAATAAATCCTACTCTATAAATTCCATAGTCAGGTGCATTAATCCAGTGTAAGTTTCATGCAAAGTTGCCTTTATCTGTTGCAGAATGCTTCTGCTCAGTTCAGGAAGGGGGTTATTACTATGCAATAAATAAACAAGAGACAATTAACAAGGGTTAGCAAAGAATTCAAAGATATTCTCAGGTAGCATCACTGTATCTAACTTTCTGTGAAACATACACTCTTGCATACCTATAATATGCATTGCTTACTCTTCAATGTGGAAGCAGAGATTTTTTTTTTCTGTGGTGGGGCCCAATGCCCCTCTTTTCCCTGTGGGCTGCTGGCAGGAGGGGAAACATATTTTTGCTAAAGATCTGGTGCTCTGCAGAGATGTGTTGAAATCAGTCTTATACACCTGCTTTGCCAAAGGAATTGAATGAGAGTTGAAGGAAGACAGCAAGTCAAGGAAAGGCGTAACCGTGTTTAGGACTACCAGAATTAAGAATGTGGTTTTGGCAAGAGAACAGGCTACAAGAAATAGCGGCTAACCAAGAGAGAGTGATAACATTTATCAACTGGTGACAGTAAGTATAATAGACTCAGAGGCTTCTTGGAATCCTTCAGTGCTTAGTACAATGCTGATCAACTAACTGGTTGCGAAAGGTGGTGGTTTGATTACTTACTTTGAATCGAACTTAGGAGGAAGTGGACTGAAGGGATCAGAACTTTGCTGATTAAAGACCTGCCATTCTTGAAAGCCAATCCACATAGCAATGTCGATTTCTTCAAATCTTGAAAACCTATTTTTAAAAAATATTTTGGACCTTGAAGTTGTAGAGGCCCATTCCAAAATTCACTTTACACTTTGTATGGTTACATTTTGCTGCATGTGAAAATAATATATATCCTTGGAATGGGGGGCAGCATCCAATGATCTCAAGAAATTCAATATTTTTTAAAGTTATTAACCCCAAGATCCTGTCATTATTAATTTGAGCAGTTTTTGCAACATAGTTAAAAAGAAAACCTAACCATTACTGCAATTTGATAAACAGGTCCACTCAGAAGGAAGCCAGAATATTTTGCATCTTACTAGCTTGTTAAAATTCAGTCCATATTATTGCTCTTTTCTTGTTGCAACTCTGTGCCCCAAACTTTAACAGACTTCTTGGTTAAAAATAAGCTATGTTGACTGTGGACGTTTATATAAATGATCCATAGCTGCCTTTGCAATACCAGTTAAGTTTTTTTTTTGGAAAGCACAAAATACTTAGGTCAAAGTGCAAAACTGTGGCTACTTCAAATTCAGTGAATACTGTTTTGCTTTAAGGCAAATCTATTTTATTCAGCCAGCTCCAGCCTCTAATTCTGGGAAAAACCCCTTATTGCTTGTTTTGTCCCTCTTCATTCACCATGGAATCAGAAATTTCCCTTTTCTTGTGTATATTTTTCTTTTATGATATTGCAAGGCATTCTCTTGCAACATTTGCGATATTTCATCAGGAACTGTCTTCCTGGGCAACTTTAAGACTCAGATGGGCAACCTAGGTGAGCCTTAAACTTTTTCTGATCACAGTATCTACTCTGATTAGAACTGCTGAAAATCAGCAGCAGCACCAGTTTCTGCTCTAAAGTGGGTAGTACAGGAGAAATCATTAGCTGTCCCCATGTAGTCACACGATTGCCAGTATTATCAGTCCAAAGAAAGCAGCGCCCCGCGCTCCATTTACCCTGAGGATGGTGAGAAAATATAAATTTGTACACTGGAGAGTAAATGATCATGTAATGTGCCCTGGTCACTTCACAGCTTGGCTACTGCAATGCACGCTACATGAGGCTGCCCTTGAAGACCATCTGGAAGCTTCAACTGATTCAGAATGCAACAGCGTGGTATGCCCATGTAACACCTCTGCTTCGCGAGCTGCACCAGTTGCCAGTTTGCTTCCAAATACAATTCAAGATGCTGGTTGTTACCTATAAAGCCATATATGGCATAGGCCTGGTTACTTGAGGCACCGCTTGCCTCCCATAGTATCTACCCAGCCAATTCATGCAAGGTTGGCATGCTCCTTCAATTAAACAATGCTATCTATCAGGACCCTACAAGCTCACTTCTCTGTGGCAGGGCCTGCCCTCTGGAATAAGGTTCCCCCCAAGAACCTATTAACCACCAACCTGCTGGTGTTTCAAAATACCTTGAAGACCTGGCTCTTTGCCTGGTCTTTCACAAGAGAGAGTGAGACCCCTTGCTTCTTTCCCATCCAGTCTGTCATTCTTGCCATCTTTTACCTTTTTTTCTTTTTAATTGTAATTTCCTTGTTTTGACCGTTGCGAGCCAGCCAGAGTCGTAGGTAGGTAGGTAGGTAGGTAGGTAGGTAGGGAGGCCGGCAGGCAGGCAGGCAGGCAGGCAGGCAGGCAGGAAGGAGCTTCTGAAATTTCTCCAAGATTATTCTAGGGACTCAGTTACTTACTGGTGGCCTTGGGAAGGAAGTAGAACTAAACTGGGTAACACTGTTGATGTAGATATGGATTTGACATTACAGAGAATGAACAGAATGACCTTAAGTAAGCAAAGAATGTTGAGAAGGACACAGTGCAAGGAAAATCATAGTGGGGGCTAAGAGTGAGTCTCTGCCTGGGCACATTAGCTGGAAATGGAAGCTGGACATCACAGGGTCTTAGTCATCTAGAGATGCAGGAAGGTAGCTGCATGTATCAGCAAATGCCAGATGGGAACATTAGCAAAGAGAGTTGCAACAGAAATAAAAATTGCATTTAAGCAGATTGAACAAGGCACTATGTTGCAATGGTGTCCCATTTTGTCATTCTCAAATGAGTTCATTAAAACCAGGTTTGAGTAGAAACAGAGGTTTCTATCAGGATAAAGTGGAGAAAAACAGATCTCTTTAGCATAAAGCAGGACTGGCAGTAACTACCTGTTACAAAGCAAGACCCATCTCATGTTGCTTCAGAATCAGGGTGCCAAGTTTTGAGCTTGAAAAGCATTTCAGCTTAGTCAAGAATGGTTTGAGAACCTGCCTAGAAAATGTACAGAAGCTGGAAAATATATTTTGTTTTGAGCTCAGAACAAAACAGCTCCATTTGAAATGTTGTGAGTTGGCTATGTTCCATCAGGAAAAAAAAAACTCAAAATAGTTTGAGTGTTTTGTTCTAGCCTAGACATAAAACTTTGGGAAAACTTTTTTTTCAGCTCAGAATACTTGAAAGAGGCTATTTGCAGTTGTTTCCCATTACCTTAACACTCACTCATTCAAATAGGTCATATTCTGTCCTGATCTTGAAACAATACTTTTGGAACACATGTGTTTTGCTTTAAGCCTGGAAACACTGAAATAACCATTTAGAAGTCAAAATGTTTGGCAACCCTCTAGTACTAATTATGGTATTTTTATTTTCTAAGAAAACATAATACATAGATGCTAGATGCTGGAACTGTGCACTAAATAAATAATATCAGCCATTCCTTTAGTTATTTTTCATTAAATGGATCCTAGATTATGAATGATGAGAAGAATGAATAGAGTATAACTCTGATTTACCAGACTTCCATGCAATGGACTTCACATAGAACCAATCAAATACCACTGTAATTTACCTCATTTCCATAGTGGTATCATTGTGCAAATGATGGTGTTGTTCCTTTGTCTATGGATTTCAGGTACTGCTTGATCCCTTCTTCTCCTTGTCACCATCTCTATGGCCAGTTACAATCAGGTGTCACCCACTTCCCTGAAGTGCCCAACCTCCTACCAGGAAAGCTTTTTAAAAAAAATTTGCATCATTTACATAATGATGTGAAATTACACGAGATAAATTGCTTGTGAATAATGGATGCATTCTCTCCCCAATTAGTCAGTTAAAACAAGGTTTCACTGTAAAAGGAAATTAATCCACCAAGTTATTCATATTCTTGGTCACCCACTGCAGTAGAAAGAATGCTAATAAGCAGAGAAACCATATAACTCTGTTCATGATTAATTTATGGCAATTCTATGAAAAATAGTAACACTTGATACAGGAGATGGCTTTAAAATGGTAAGAAATTCAAGGAAGATAGATCTATCAGTGCCTAATTATTCTTGATATATTAAATAGAACGGTGCTCAGACCTTTTCTTTATTCCCATCATCTGGAAGGAGCTCCTGATGTGGGCTCTGCTGCCAGAGTAAGAAATGGATGTGTGTCATGCGTTCAGAGCAGGGGAGAGGGGAAGCCGCTGCACAGGGAAACACAGAGGTGGTATGAAGGAGCCCAGTTCCTCCTGCCTTTGAAAGTAGACTGGAAGAGATATTGCCAATCTCACTGCCGCATATGTACTGTGCTACTTTGTGTATGCAACCTAACAGAATCAGGTAGCACTATGTAGGAATTTCAGATAGACATCTAAAGTGTCAGTGAACTGAAGCAAGAGAAGACATTCTTCTCTGCCAGTTCTACTTCACACTCCTGGCCGTTTGCACCAAATTATGGAGGTGTATCTTTTTTGTTTTGTAAAGATACTAGTATCATAGTCTTTTGTAATACTTTCTGCTCCGTCTTCCACATATGCCTATACTTTTGCAGCTCGGCATAACTAAAAACAAAGGCCTCTGGCCATTTGTTCCAGGCCCACTTCTCTCAAAAATGCAGCATCACTAAAAAAAATAAGCAGAGTCATGCTTTCTCCAAGAGTTCCAGCCTGCTGAGTCAGTAAATGCAGGGTGTGTTAATATGAGACTTCCCTGGAAGGCTTTATCTTTGGGCAGCAGCTGAAGTTTGGTAAAGGTAATGCCTTACACTGCCCCCTGCAGACAACAGACTGGAACTACTACCTGTGAGCTTAATTTCATTTAAAAACAAAAATACAAAAAGGTACATCATAGAATGAGATGAAAGTGTAGATTCCAAAGAGCTGCCTAATGTAAGTTATCTTACCTTGCTCCAGGAGGATCTCAACTTTTTTTCTTTAGGGCATTATGATTTCCCTCATTCCTTCCCCATTTTTCAAAAGTAGTTTAACAAGTATACCTGTAGATGTGTTGGTATAAGCAGTTTAAACTTTCATGTCTTCTGTGGCCACTAGACCCAAATAAAAAATATGGTTTATAAGAACTGGTGACTAACCCATAACTGATGTTCTTTGAATGGTCCTCTGTGAATTCACACTGATGGGTAATGGGCCGTGCCAGGTTGAGAACCTTCTAGAGACTACACAATTTTGGGGCAGGAGCTCTGCACCCCACCTTCACACTACATGACCAGATGTGGCTCCCACCAAAATCCTTCTGTTCCTAAGACCAACACAGTGGATTTGAAGGAACACAGAAGGCACCTGAGACCAAGTGGGATTAGAGGACAGGCTGTGTGAATTCACAGATGACCACTCAAAGTTACAAGTAGAAAAGGTTCTTCCTTATTGTGATCGCTGTGACGCACATGTGTGTAAAGAGCAAGCTTTTTACCTGGAAGAAGGTATGGTCATCATGAGGAAACAGAAGAGAAGATGGCTCTCTCAAAGTCTGCATCTCTCTGGAAGCAGAGATCCAAGCTATAGAGCTATTTGGTCACTTGGCATAACTGCAGTAATGAATGGAGGAAAGATGCTGATGCCCTTGCTGTTCTGGAGGGAGTGCAGACTGGGAGAGTAGAAAATAATTTAATCTGCTTGTAAAAAAGCCTGATAGCTGCCAATACATATTTGGAGAAATGCTGTATAAAAAGGCTGTTCCCTTTAAATAACTCTTGGAAGGTGAGGAGTAAACAACAGCTCCAGCAAAACAGCAGAACCCTATGAACATCC